GGGTTCTGCTAGGAATAGGATTGGGTCAACTTTGTCAGGAAGCAAGGTGGAAAGAGGTCACTGTCAGAGAAAGCACCAAGTGCTGCTAGAAACCAGCCAGGATTAACTATATGTTGCTCTATCAAGAACCAAAGGAATACTGGGGCTTAAATAGACCCCACCTTGTCCCTTAAAGGAGTCTGGCTTGTTTTAGCTCGCCCAAGCTGCAATGATCTGGGAGTGGCTGTGGTATGTGATTGTCCTTGTGGCTGGAGAGAGTTCAGAGATGACACATCTGACTGCTTGCAGCTTTCTGAGGAACATGGTCCTGGGAAGGTAGAAACCTCATGATGCCTTTCTGTGACTGAATCCTCTTTTCTGAGTTCTTAACTCTGAAGCCTTCTCTTGGAACAAGAGTATGACAGCCTCTGTGAATGAGAGTTCCTGGTTTGCATCCATGATGGCAGGCTTAAGCTACATGCTGTGTTAAATGCTACCCAGAGGTACAAGCATTTCCCCCCTTTTAGTCTCTACATGGGGATGGACAAATTTGGTGGGGGCGGGGGAGGTAGCTGGGCAGAAAGCTTTATTCACCCATGCTTGGTTGTCCCAGTCCAAATCTGGGCCTCATGGTGCTTACATCAAAGTTTATTTGTTCCAAGTTAAGATCAGTAAGATCCTGTCCATTTAATTAAGCATGTACCTTAACCCTCAAATAAAGAGCCAGGGATTATATCTCTGTGCAAACAGCCTCTCAAAATTCACCAACTTGTTCCTAAAGAAACTAGAAGAACCATTGCACTGAATTCTTTAGGGGATGGAGAAATTCTCCGATGGTATTGTTTGAGAATGGGACTTATTTATTTTTATTTAATAAATTTGTTTAAAGCTGCCTGAAAGTAACATGCTCTCTTATCACTATCATTAGCAGTGACATACAGTAGGTTGCTGCTGCAAATAGCAGCATCATGGATTACTGAACCTAGTGAAGTAGATGAAAGGAAAACCTGGTGTTTTTGGTCAAGGTAGAATTATATGGTCTACTGTGGACACAATGAAAAACTAGGAAAATAATTATTACATGGATAATCAGTGCCAGGTATGAGATTAATATAGATTAAAATTAACACTGACTCACTCATTTTTAAGATTAATCAGTATGGATGAAACTTTTGACCTAAATGGGCATTGATATTTGCCACAGCTAGAAAGCAATATCTGGACACAGCACAGAACTCTTAATATTACCTGATGAATGTATAAGGCAGCATAATGGAAGAAAACCCTCATATTTCCCCCAAATGTTGCTTTTTAATTAACCAAAACAGAAATCACAATACTATGTGGAAGTAGACAATATGTGAAAAAACTGTATGTGTAGAAGAGGATAATTATGCATTAGAATAATTTAGAGATAATCTCTAATCTCTATCTCTGCACTATTAGAAATTAATAATGTAGAGATATTAAATTATCTAGAGCCATTTCAGTCTAACCATGTGGCTAATGGTACAGGTTAGAAATCCAGTAAATAAATCATTAAATAATTTTTGCCCTGGTTAGGGCAGAGATTCTGCTTTGGCTGCCATGGCAGATGGCAGTATGTATTGCATGCCAAAAAATGAACAGAGGAAGTGTTGGTTCTTCTGCAATTCTTACTGGCTTTTAGTACCATTGATAATAGTAACCTTCTGAAGTGCCTGTTTGAAATGAGACTGTGAGACCAGTCTTGTTGTATTTTTGCTGTAGGTGATTTTAAGAAGGTAGTACTAGAGGATTCTTGTTCAACACTGTTATTCCTTGGCTTTTGGTCTCCCTTGGGGTTCCATCTTGTCCCCCTTGCTATTTAACACAGACATGAAGCTGCTGGAAGAGGTTGTCCAGTTTAAGGATTTGGTGCTACCAGTATGCTTATGACACTCAATTCCTTTTCCACCCAAATCCAAGAAAGCTTTTCTAATTCTAAACTGGTGTCTGATGTCAGTAATGGAATAGATGAGGGTGAATACGTTGCAACTTAACCACACAGAAGTGCTTCTTCTAGTTGAAAGGCAATGCTGGGAAAAGAGATTCAACTGAAGCTGAAGGAAGGCTACACCCCTGAAGTTGCGGGGTTGCAGTTTGGATGCATTCCTGGATTCAGCCCTAAACTGGATGCCCAGGTTTTGGCAGTGGTCAGGCAGGCCTTTGACAAACCTTTAACTGGTTTGTCTTTGAAGGAGGTTTAACTGGTCGAGCACTGGCTTTTATAAGTGTGTTTTAGTTGTGGTTTTGGTATATGTTCATGCTATATTTTAATTAAGGTTTTCTTTGGATTCTATTGCTAGCCACCTTGTGTGCTACTCCAGCAAAATGGTGGGGTATACATTTATTTAATTAATAGTAGCAAGTCATATAAACAAGTGAAGTGGAGATGTAAAAAATTATATATTTGAGGAAGTATAGCATATCTTTTTTTAATAAGGGATCCTGTTACAGAGAAAATTGTCGTTAAAGGGCTATAAAAGGCACTTACCTCTTTGGACAGTAGATACAGAAATAAGGGAACATGTTCAATATGCCAACAGCCTAAATGTGATTTCGTATGTGATGGAACTGCAGCAAGGCAAATAATATGGGAGCATGACAGCTACCATGAGGCATGCCATTTCTTTGATTACAGGTACCTTTAAATTGAATAGTCTGGTTCTTGAATCTTGTAAAATCTATCATACTTATTGATCAGCGATGACCAATATTATGTATTTTGCAAGCTTTCTGCCAAATTATGGTAAACGAATCAAACCTAAAACGTGGCATAAGTGCATGATTTGCACTACAAATCATTGCGCCAATTTAATATGGCTATAAATCTGTATACACCAGTATCACAAATATATTCTTTTTACTTTTGTTGCTGTCTATATTGTAGTGATGAGGTTTTAAACCCCTCTTGGGTGCTGGCTTCTGCCAACAGTGGGTGGCCAGAGCCAACACTCTGAGGCCTTCAGCTCAATCTCAGTGTAATATGGCAGCTACTAAAATTAGTTGCTGACTGGCGCACGAGAGCATGGAGTACTGATACCAACTGGCAGTGACAGGGCACAAGTAAATGAAAAGCTCTCTTAAAAGGGATGTTTATGGTCAGTGCCTGCCCCATATTTGGGCATTCTCTTTCACAGAGTTTTTATTGCATGAAGAGAGAAAGTGGAGTTGCGCCTGCTGACTCACCCCCTAGTGATTCCTGTGTTGGGAACATCTGTTGACATCTGTAGGCTTTTCCTATGAACAGGAATTCTGTATGCTCAGGGATATTATGTTTGTAAGATAAAATAATAAAGTGGTCATTTGAACATTTATGCACATGCCTGGTTGGCCAACCCACACTAGAAAATGTTGTTAAAGATGAGAAGAATGATAGTGTGGCAAGCAGGGGTAGCCCAAGTGGGCTCGTTTTGTGTGTTGGAACCACTCAGGGAGCTTAGTCTATTGGGTGGCACAGAAATTAAATAAATGGCCAATACTGGTAGGCCCATGCTGGTTTGCCAGGCTCTCCGTCACCTGTGGAACTCCTGGACTCTGGACCCCTTGCCTTTGCCCCAAAAAGCAGCCCTAGCTGTATCATGTTTTCTCCTGAATGGTAAAACTCATTATCACAATTTTTTAAATTGCTTGTTCCATTATGACATGTCAGAGTTATGAAATAATAACTTCTGTGATAAATTTCATTGTATCGCAAAAGTCATTATCTCATTTAAGGTTTAGAAATCTACACTAATTCAATCATTTTGAAAGCGGACCTGTATGGCCTTGAAAGGGAACTTGTAAAGCTCAAACCTAAGCTTTGCCACTAGGGGAGCAAATGGCCAACTCTTTTATCATTAATGATCATTTTATCATTATCTATTAAAACGTGATTCCTAATAGGTGGCATTTGCTTATCTGTGAACTTCTATCTAGTAAAAGCAGGAATAAATTTTGAAGGAAATTCATAAAGTTTTGGATGTGAGTGAGACAGAATTAAAAATATCTGTAGACTAGTACAGGGGTGGGCAGAGGGCAGATCCCGATCTGCTGCTAGATCTGTGAGTTATTTATGGTAGATTGGCAAGAATTTCTTCTTCTTTGACAACAGAAAGTCCTTTTTTCATTTCTCTAGTAGATTGATGAAAACAACAAACCTTGAGGTGGGTGGGAACCAGGAATAGATTTGTGTGTGAAAAGATATGACTGTAAGCACTAGCTTTGTTTGCTTGCTTAATTCACTTTTATAACTCCTAATACCTGAGGCTTACTAACGCATGAGTGCATGTTGATATGCACCTTGCTCTTCATCTCTCTATGCGTTGATCTGAGGTCCTGTTCTGCAGCTGTCTCTAGTGAATGGACCTAACGGTTCTAGTGGAAGAGCAAAGTTTGGTACCCATGGACATATCTGGCAATTTGAGAAACTGTTGTGACCACCAATATAAAATGTCTGTGACAGGAAAGTTGCTAAAGAACAAGTAACTTGCCCAAAAGACTGAATGCAAGGCAGAGGTAGAGTCTTGAACCCAAGATGTTAAACAGCTCCTTGAAATCCATGGCTTCCACTTCTAAAAGAGCCGTACTTCACAACAATCCCAGGTGCTGGTAAGAAAACATGTTAATTAAAAGGCTTGCAGGGATGGGGCACCTTGGTGGGTGCCATGAAAAGTATCCAGGGACAACCCAGCACTTGCCTAAAGTCTGACCTGGACTTGTGTTGCACCCACAGTGCTTTAAAAATGGGCATTTTTAACTTCACAATTTATTATATAATAATTAAGATGTGCAATACAGAATTTATTGGCAGAATGTGATTTATGGTCCCTGCATGAATATGCATGTTGTCTTGAGCTTTAAACTTAATTTTTGTGTTTGCTACGATTTCAACAAATGAACACTTCTGAAGGATAAAAATAGAAGATGAAGGGCCCGAGTTCCCAGCTGTTGTTTTGTGCACACATTCATTTTCTGGAGTATTCAAAATATGGAAGTGGATAAATGACTTTACATTAGCATTTTCAAGCAAAATATTTATTTGTTTACTTATAGACAAGTTATACTTGTTCCTTCTATTTATTTCTCAATACATGATTGGCTATAATACCTTTGGTTTTAGGAAAAGGATGAAGAGATAAAGGAACCATAGAGCAATATATTGTACAACTTTTGTGACAGGTAAGCCAAATTCTTTACCCCGGCCTTACAAAGACTTCCCCAACCTGGTGCCCCACTTTTCAAGGTTTTGCACTATAACTTCCAAAATTGCCAACTATTGTTAATGCTGGCTGGCGCTGAAGAGAGCTGAAGTACAAAATCCAATGGAGGGCATAAAGTACAGTATCTAGTGGGGTACAACCACTTATATAAATTAACTTGTACAAGCAGAAACTACTCCAGTGCAAACATCAGTAGCATTAGCTGGCACTCCAATATCTCTAAGAAACTGGTGCACCAGCTAAAGCCATTCAGATTGTTCTAGAATCATTTAACTTATTTTACTGGCTGCACACTGCTGGATACTACCTCTTGTTTGGGAAAGAATATCCTATCAGGCACATCTTCAAAATTAGCCATAACTGGAAGAGCACAACTGGCCATGTCCAGACTTTAGCATCTATTTATGCTACTAGAAACAGGACCAGTGCTTATATCCACCATATGGTAAGGCAAGGGGTCCTCCACATGTTGGATTTCAGCTCCCATGATCTGTTATTATTGACTAGTCTTATTGGCAGTAATACAGAATGAATATAAGGAATTCTCAACATAAAGTTATGATGTGATAGTGCCTAGACATTATATGTTCAATTCAGAAAAAAGGGGCTATTTTTGGTGTCTTGCCTAATATGCATGTCAGACCAGTCTGTCAGTTGGAGAAATCTGACTCAGGCTTTGTCAAAGCTGGCTCAAGACATTTCTACCCAGTTTTCATGTAATGGCAATTATAGATGGATGGATGGATGGATGGATGGATGGATGGATGGATGGATGGATTCACTCACTTCTAAAATGTTGTAGGGGCAAGTGAGGAAGTGCACTGCCTCTGGCCATTCAGAAATTTAGCATGATATATGAACTCAGACATTCTTGATTGTTTAGATGTTAACAACTGAGATAATCCAACAACCAGCCATGTGCACACTCTGGGTTATTTAATCACTAAACAACCTAGAGTGTTTGGTTTCAGACATCATACCATCAACCTCAAATGGGGCAGAAATAGGTTGTTAAATGCAAGCAGAAGTGATGAGTGTGCAAGAGATACCACACTTGCTAATCTTCAGTAGAATTTGGCAATTAATTAACCCATGATTTCCATTATATGTGAACTAGGTCTTTGTTTTTTAAGCACTGCCACTGCACAGGGGCCTTTCTATGTCTGATCTGAGAACAGTGGCCCAGCTTTACATTGCAAAGGATCCAGGATGTATGCCATTTATAATCACACTGCTTCACTGATACCTTTTAAAAAAACTACTGGACAAAGAGACCATTTGGATTGCTTGCATGTGAAGTTAGGCCAGCCCTGAGATCTAGATCTCTTTGCAGCTAGGAAACACTCTGATTGGTTTTCGGCATGTTTTACTCAATCCTGTCACATAAGGTCGATGTGTGAACTGCAAATATACAATAATCAGGTCAGCTAGCATAGCCCACCCTAAACGGAAATACATTTTAAAAATGATGCATAGGCCTTCACTGGACCCAAAGGAACACTCGTGTGCAATAACAATGTGTAAAGATTTACAGATCATATAAGACAAACTTTTGTGGAAATTGAATACAAGAGACATCCATAAAACATGTGCCATCTACTTTGTGAAGATTCTGAACTGTTTTGACAACCTGACAAAGAATTCTCTGGGAGGCCAACTCTTCAGGTCCTCATGGTTCTGAAACGAATGGTCTTGCACTGTCTTTCTCCAGTGTGGTTGCTGCTCATGCGACTCAGGCTACATCTTCCAAGTCCTCTGCTGGTGGTCTTGCTGTATCTTTGGGATGGTTAAAGTGCAGCTGTCTGGTTTTCTGTAGTCAAAAAAAGGAAGCCCAGTGTTCTAGTAGGATAGGAAGGCTGGTGATCACTGACAACCATTACCACTAGGTTTGAATTTGTTTCCCAGCTCACCAGAGATCAGCCACAGATTCTGTTTTGAAAGGAAGGGCTTAGGTTTTGGAATGCATGAAGTCATCTTTAAAAGTGCCACCACTGGGCAGATTCAGCCTGTTCCACGTTCTTGGATTACAAAGGAGGGTGTCTATGGGGCAGATAATACAGCTCACATATCGGTTTAAACCCAGACACCTACATCTTTAGAAGCTGAACACTGATCATTGCTTCACGTGCATGGGGCATTCAAGACATGTCCCTTGCATAAACTCTATGTCAGACTTTACTAACTAGCACATTGTTGGTACTTCATGATTATTAACTATGACTGCCCCCCTTCAACTATGAAATGTCATGAAAGTAGCTTAGTTTCAGTAGGGCTGGCATCACAAGGTCAGCATAGCTGGGGCTCCCAACTTGGCACAGGGTTCAGCAGGGTTAACTCCTGGAAAGCCTCCTGCACAGGCAGTTCCTTGTCTTTGCTGTTGCTTCCTGTTCACTTGTCCTTTCCAAGCCAAGTGTGAAAGGAGAAAGAAGTCTCTGTGCCTGTCTCTCTAGCAGGTGGGGCTGACTGCACTGAGAAAGAAAGGGGAGCCAATGTGTGGTGTTAAGGGAGGGGGAGTCATGGACGGCAGCTGTGAAAGCACCTTGCCTAAGAGCTCAGGACTGGTTTTCACATCCCGCAGATGACATGGTAATCCTGTACCTGACCATATTGCTTCAGGCTGCTCACATGACACAATGGGGCTATTCCAGACCAAAAAGAACCCTGCACAAAGAAAGCAAATGTTCAGTGAGGAAGGTTCTAAGAAAGCCTAGGGATGGGCAAGCTGTCCAAAGATATCCCTGCACTGGCTGAGGAAGTTTTAAAAGTTCCCCAGGGATGGGAATGGGGTTAAGGACCCTGGGAAAATTTGCCAAGGCTTCTCGGGAGATTCCAGAAATCTTGTGCAGCAGAAACAGTGTGCAGGTGGGGTGAAACTGGGGATTCTTGTACAGGGCTCAAGTTTGTTTGTTTTTAAACTGAGCCAGAGAATTCAAAATCTTCTCTTTGAAGTAAGCTTAGAACAACAAACGTGTTTTTTTTGGGCAGGGGAGCCTTTAATATATACGTATTATGTTTATGTTTTTGATATTGTCTGTATGTATTCAATAACCAAATAAAAGCAATGCTACATAAAAAGCATGCTTTACCCACACCTAAACTGTGATTCTGAGCCCCTGTCTGGAGAACCTTTCTATTATCTTTCAGGAAAGAGAAACCAAAATTATCAAGAGGCTGGTTATGATCATACACTTGAGAGGAGAAAGGCCTGTAACTGGGGGTGGGAGAAATATGATGCATAAAAATGATGCATGTTATGGAAAAAGTGGAGAAGATGTTCTCCTTTTCATAATTTCACACCCCAGGCTCATGCAATGAGGCTGACCTGTGGGATATTCAGGACAGACAAAAGGAAATATTTCTTCACAAAGCATGCAGGCAAACTGAGCTCCACTTTGCTACCACAAAATGTAATGATGACCAGCAACTTGGATGGCTTTAAAATGTTTCTGGGGGAAGAGGCTATACATGCTTACAAGCAATGATCTATTATCCCCAGAAGCAGGGGCACTATTTATGTAAATCCCAGTGACTGGGGAACATGAATGGGAGAGTTTATTGCACTCATGGTGCTTGAGGGCTTCTCACAGGCAGATGGTTGGCCACTGTGTGGACAGAATACTTGATCAGATCGGCCTTTGGTCAAATTCAGCACAGGTGTTCTTATGCCCAAGCCATCCCCTGTCATGCTTGTTCGCTTTGATTTCCTTTGCTTTATGCATAGAGCATGCATAAAGCATCAGGGGAGCCCTTGGTTGTAATTCAAAGTGGTCCAGCCCAAACACAGATTTCCCTCCTCATCCATTTTAAAAGTCACTGTAAAGTCATTTTGTCTGTGATTTATTTATATAATAGGAATGTCCCATATTGTAAAATGTGATGAAGGAAAACAAAATAGGTTTTTTTTCTTTTGAACAGTGACTAGTAAGTTAAATAAACTTTACATGATCTCCATTAAGAAAAGCTAGCTTCTTCTTCCAGGGTCTTGAAAAGAACATCTTTCATTGCAGCATCACAACATAGATTTTCAGTTGACTAAACTTCACTTTACTTTACTCTACCTTATTAGAGGTTTTCTTCATGCAAATTCCTCAGAAGTGCTTGAACATTCACATGTTGTTATTGAACAGAAACCTTGTTCAATCAATACCTGCCCAATCTTGCAAAAGAAGATCATAGGCTAACTGTGCTACAGTTACCCATCTTGATTTCTGAGATTCCCTTAGAGTTCTTTACAGTGTTTGAGTGGCAAAGAGATGGGAGGCTTATATGTGCATGCGCCTGAGGAGAGAGACCATGGCCCCTTCCAATGGGAGCCATTCACTCCATCTTACATACTGCTCCAGAGGGCCCCTTTGCTTTCAGGCACAGCTTTCCAGGGATTGCAGTGCCAGAGGCTGTTATTATGAAAAAGAGCTGAACAGAGAGGACAGTAATTTTGCAAGCGAAACATTTGGATGGCAAGTGTACCACTTTACAAGGCAAAAAACATAAATTGAATTTACCTCACAGAATGCTTTTTAGTTTGCCTTTGACCTTTCAAGCAATGTGAATCCTGACCTTGCAATGCTTCAGGTGTGGCAGCCTTCACTTTTTCTGACAAATAGTCTCTCCCTTGCTTTGATTTAGTCTCAGTTACAGTGAGAACATGGGCATTTTTATTCTTCTCTGAAACAAAACGGGGATGTCAGCCAGAATGGGACCAAGGTCTTCCATTTATTATAACTAACGTGGTCTAATAATGCATGCCTAGTTACCTATCACTCTTATGAAAGCTGAGCAGTGTGCCTCCCCGACTTCATTAGTGGCAAGGCAGATATATTTTCCAGTGTCAGCAAGGACTGCATTTCTTTTTAAAAGGTAATAGGTGTCCCCTAATTTCTCAATCTGTAAAACAATGAAATATAGACAAGAGAGAGATTAGTAGTGTGAAGCAAGAGATACGACATTCTTCCCAAAGGAACATTTACAGAATGTTTAGACATACACTAATTTCTCTTCCTGCCACTCTGATGCCATCTTTTGTCCAAATGACATTTGGCCTTGGTCTTCCATATATTGTACAATGCAGGTTTAAATCATCTCCTTCTTGCAGAGTAGTGTGTCCAAATTTTTTAATGAAGTTTGGCTGTTTTCCTTGAACTAGAGAAAGAGAGAGAGAAAGGAAGCATAGATGGCATTTGAAAAGGCAGGGCTGTTCTTTCAAGAACAAAATTATCCATCTGAAACTGAGTTTAAATGACTGTGTTGTCCTACACAGTGGAGAATCAGAAAGACAATAGCTAGCAGCCTGGATCTGAGAAGACAGTAGAAAACCAAGTAAGATCAGACGTTTGCCTCTCTCATGCAATAAATATATAAGGTTAAAACAGGAGTTCTGATTGATTATCTTACCAGCTTTTCCTCTTCCTATAGCCTAAATTGCAACAAAGATTTTAGAATGATTATACACAAGTGGAACCTACAACAAAATATTACAATATATACTCACCTTTTAATAGGACTACTCCCGTCTGTGGGTTCCAGACAGAAAACCATACTTGCCTTTGAAACAGTGTATTACAACCCATTTTCTGATTTTATTCTCAAAATGATATTATACATTGAACTGCTTTGTGTGGAACTACAGTGCACTTTTCACTGTCAGGCTGTTCCCACTGCAGGTGAAGTGGCTAAACCATCCACAGACCATGATTTGTTTAGTGTAACGTGTGAACTAGGCCCTCTTGATTTCAAGCCAGAGAAATAACAAAAACAACACAGGTCCTTTTTCTAGCTTGTTGGGGAAGAGGCAAGCCATGGGTGGTTTATCAGCTTCTGCTTGCCGTGTACCAGCACACTGTTGCATCCGTGGCAATCTACATGTTTTGTTTTTCTTTTAATATGGGCTGTTACCATTATGGCCCAACAAGTTCCACATGAGTATGTACAGTCCTCATTAGGATGTTCAGATTATTTGTTTGCTTGTTTTGTCCTATTAAACAAACATTTTTAGAAAAGGCCAGGTTCTCCTGAATATGCTGATGCCACCCTATTCCTTCTCAGTGGCTTTGTTTTGCCTCCAGTCCTGTTATCACTGACCACAGAAGTCCACTATTAGAGGTAGGAAGTTAAATGTTAAGCTCTCCTTAATCTACATAATTGGCGAGTGGTCATTTCAGAGTATTATCAGTTTGCAGTTTCAACTATGCCTTTGTATAGGACCCAGGGGCACCATTCAGCCATTCTCATCTTCACCTCAGCCTCAATCGCATTGTGCCCCATGGCTGCTCCGGTTCACACCTCTTGCTGGACCCTCCTTCACTTTCGCATAATAACCCAGCTGCATTCCCAGGAATGGTAGGGGAGCCAGTATGTGCCATCTCTCTTCAGAACTAATGATTGTGGCTATTTTCTGTATCATATGCAGCCATCAGACTTTGGTGGGACTGTCTTTAATAATGCTCATTTAGACTAGAATGAAGAAAAAAAACTTGCTTGGTTGCCTTGGAGCAATACTTACCACAAGACTACAAAGCATGTGGCTCCTTACAAAGTACTCTGGCCCAAACTAGTTTTGAAAAGACCCTAATTCATGCCCCAGCATCACACTCACATAGAAATGCATGAGTATTACTTTAATATTAAAAGAGCCCACAGTAGAAAAGTACTGAACCCTTCTCGCTATTATATCTTACCTACACAGAGCTGATTGCATTGATCATTTTTCCCCTTCCCAATTCTGATTCCAGAAATGATGGTGGAAAAACAGCTTTAGAAACAGACAGAGGAGAGGGAATGCATGGGCGATCAGCACCCCTTCCTCAAGAGTTTCTTCTAGTGTTATAGTCAGATGCATGTCACCCATGCTTTACATATGAAGAGTGGTCACACTGATCCACATGTATTCAAGTAGGCTTCACCATTCATTCCAAAGCTCATACATTTATTATGTGTGTTGAAGTGAATGTTGAAGCTTCAGCAAATGGTTCATGTGGTTAGCAAGGAGAGAGGGTTAAATATGCTCCATCATGTTAACCATATCCACGCTGACATACAACATATCAGTGGATACAAACATATGATGGATGAGACCTTGTCCTTTGGTGGCCCTGTGCTCATGTGAAGCTGGGCATGCATCTGTGATAGGGGACTACAAAATGCGGGCTTTCTGGATATACAGGTTGGCTTTATAGACACATTTTAGGGATAATATGTTTTATTCGTGACTTAGATGAATGCCTGGTGGGTGGGGGCATGGGGAGAGTGCAGGTGATTCCATTCCTTCTCTCCACACATCCATAGCCACAGCTGAATCATGACCACAGTGCCTCCAAAGTCTTAATATGTGCATGAGACACCTAGAAGGCAGGTGAGCCTGACCCAGGAAAGTCTCTTGTGACGCAGATGTAAGATCAGCTGACTTACAGAGCCATGATATAGAAAGGTTTTCTGATCCTTGAGCCTGGATAAGAAATATAAAAAGAAGAGATTCCCTTGTCCTTTAGCAACTTTCCCATCTCAGACATTTTGTATTGGTGGTCACAACAGTTTCTCGAATCTTCTTTGACAACAGAAAGTCCTTTTTTCATTTCGCTAGTACATTGATGAAAACAACAAACCTTGAGGTGGGTGTGGGAACCAGGAATAGATTTGTGTGAAAAGATATGACTGTAAGCACTAGCTTTGTTTGTTTGCTTGCTTAATTCACTTTTATAACTCCTAATACCTGAGAGGCTTACTAACACATGAGTGCATGTTGATATGCACCTTGTTCTTCATCTCTCTATGCATTGACCTGAGGTCCTGTTCTGCAGCTGTCTCTAGTGAACAGACCTCACGGTTCTAGTGGAAGAGCAAAGATTATGCAGTTTGGGTACCATGGGCATATCTGGCAATTTGAAGAGAAAGAAAAGAAGAGAAAGGAACTTTGGCATCCCAGGAAGATATTCCTGGCCTGCCTGGTTGCAGGACTTAATATGTCAGGCAACTTAGGGAATTGCCACTGGCTGAAGCTGGGTTTTATCTGGAGGTATTTTACTGTATAGCTAACCAAGTGAAGGGCTGAGGCTTTCCGGTGAATAGATTTGGCAAGTTCTGTAGTCCACAACCATGTTTTTCACAATATTTATATTGGGTTTGATTCAGATGTTCGCTCAATCAACTGCATCAGTAGAGGTGGGTTACCTACCCCTCCGGCCCATGGCAGCTCCTCTAGCTTCCTGAAAATGGTGCACAAAGAGCCAGGAGTTCTTGCTGAATGGGTTGAACTCTGGTGTGTAGGGAAGTGGCCTCATTCCAAATCAGGCAAAGAGGTTTTTCACAAGCGGAAGGAGCATCCCTCTTCTAGCAGGCAGATCCTGGATCCAACCCAAGATCAGTGGCAAACAAGCCATGGCATTATGGGGATAAGTGACCAGATACACAGTTCAGAGCAGTATATATCATTAGAAGCAATTCACTTTTATATTTATCTACAGTATTGCATGGGAGAATGTTTCCATGATCAGAAGTAAATGAAAGCACAGTGCATATGCAACTCTCAGTGTTTAATTGCTAAAAGGGTAATACTATCTATGCTATTACAGTTGTGAAGAAATCAGTTTCATAACCAAAATCATGCTTGAAATCTCAACAGTAGTACCAGTAGAATATGGCTGAGGAAGGATAACTCCCCAGCACACTCCAGTGTAAAGAAATATCTGACCAATGAAGGGGAAAAAGATTTACCTTGGGTGCTATTCTTTCTGCTACCAGCTCCTGTATATTTGATCTCTTAAAAGGTTTAGAGAACACATTAACCAAATTAGGCTGCCTCCTTGCTGAGGTACCAGTCAGCACTACTAAGGGAAATCAAGTGCCTTCTGTTTGTTGATTTATGGCACTAAGAATTTCTGTTTCTTTCGGTTAGCCTAGCTGTACATCAGAAAGTTGTGAGGAATTTGATAATTTGAGATGATCAACGGCTGAGTGCAAGAGGGAAGACTCAGGTTGCACAGGCCTCAAAGGGATTAACAGCAACGCTTGGGTAGAAATGTGGAGCAGGCAGGCAGAAACAGACCCTGCCGGTGAAAGAAGCAAGCTTCTTGCATTGTTCAACATGGAGTGATTGCTGCCTGTCACTCCACCCTTTACTGCATACTGGCCTTCCCAGAAGGGGCTCTGCATACTGGTCTTCCCAGAAAGGGCTTCCTTTGTATGTGGGAAATAAGTAATCCTTATTCACTTGTACTCCTTCAGTACATTTGCAATTCTTTAAAACTGTCTGTATGGAGCCTGCATTGAATATGACACTTCGGCTTGTCAATAAAAATCAAGTAGGATTGATTGCAAAACAGGTGGCAGCACATCATGAGGCCAATGATGCGGAAATAGTTTCACAGTTCATAAGTCTGCCTGGAACTAGTTGCACTTGTTTGTATTACAGATTCAGACATGAAGCAGCAGCCAAAGAACTGGGCAACTGACTAGTTCTGCATGTATTAGATTATTTTCTGTCGAGATACTCAAAGAGCAAGACCCTATGCTGCATTAAAAACGTGTTACAAACTTTAAGATCAGTTTTGTGATACACCTTAGGGATCTGATGTTCAAAGAAAAAAAATGCCCCAAATCCCATTGGACTCATGCAAACCTTAGATGCACCTAAAGTATGTTTTTTCATGCCCTCCAATATATTTTCACTTGTTCATTCATGTGGACATAATACACAAGAGAGAAGTATATTACTCAAGTGCCAGAAAAAAGTTTTTATAAACTGGATGCATTTTGGAAAGATACTTCCTTCCTCAGGGGCTGCAACTAGCATTTGCTCTTCTGTTTTTTAAAATCGGTGCTGTTCCCCCTTGCTGGTTCATTCCTATAATACACAGGAACCAGCTTGTGTTGGAGAGCATGATGGTATTCCAGAAATGGCAAGGACAGACAAGTCTGTTTTCATTTTGAATGAAAATGCCATACTTTATTGAAATATATTTGCCAGATGGAGAGGAGTGAAATGTTCCAAAATTAGGGTACAATCCATCCCAATGCAGCTGTAGTTATGCCTGCAACAAGGAGCCAGCCCGGGCTGAAAAGAGCCCCTCTTCTTTCCCTCTGCTTTTTGACAGTGCACTGGCTGTTACTCAAAACTAGAAGTTGGTGCCTGCTCCCCCTCTAGGACC